CTTATAATTGAGGCACGCGCGTCTGTGATTCCTTGCTGTGATGTGTTGGCTGTGTTATTGTCTAACGTGCAGGAACGTGCGTGATGGATTCCAGGTAGGGTCGCATGTGATTGTTAGTTTGGCCGATCGTTGTGTGTTATGTGTGTTTTCGTCTGGCGGTACGTGAGTGCCTACGTGGGGTTTGGGGTTGTACACTTATTGAGATTCGTCTCACGGTTGTATAACCGTCACTTTCAGACCCCCGGCCCTAAACCCGGGAAGTGCGCCTTTTCTTTTTGGAAGTCCGGGGAGCTACTGTTGGTACCCAGTGGAGCTGCAGGTGAGTTCCAGAGATTCGAGCCAGAGATTCAGAAGCAGACAGGAGGAGGGCGATCCTTAGGTTTTTCCTTAAGATTTTGGGGGTTGTGTAAATCGGGTTGACCCATAGGGAAGTTAAGTTAACCAGACCCTGATATTTTGTTGACGGTGATTTCGGATGCTAGTTTGTTAATTATGCCTGTAATATGATGTATGTATATTTGGTGTTGTATGAATATGTGGTTGCTGGATTGTTTTGTTGTTCTACCCCGTTGTCGTCATTATTTGTCCGGGGTTTTATTTTTCGCTTCCGCATGTGGCTCTGATGTTTGGGTTGGGTCGGCGACGTTCCTGGGACGTCGCATCATTTCGACCGGAGCACGGGATGTCGCGAGCTCGATGGGGTTCGGGGCGTGACAGTGTGTGTCACCTTAGGTTCACAGTATTGATGCTCAAGTTGGACATCAAGGAATGCTATATCATCTATCGTGGGGTCCAAAGTCAAGAGTATGAACTTGGCCAGCATATTTCATTAACGGGTATAATTTTCACACTCGCGAATATGGAATGGGAAAGGCTATAATGAATAGTGGGGTGTGTGTTCAGTCATCCAATGGTGGCAATTCGCAAGGTGATTTCTATGGCTTGTTGGATGAAATCATAGAGATTGAGTACCATGGACAGTTAATGCAGGTTGTCTTATTTAAGTGCATGTGGTTCGACCCCGTGAAAGGAATGAATGTACATACCAAATTTAATTTGGTTGAAATAAATCACAAGAAAAGATATATGAAATATGAACAATTTGTCTTGGCACAACAAGCAATTCAAGTCTATTATGCATCATATCCTAGTTTGAAGAGAGACAAAGCCGATTGGTGGGCTGTATGTAAAACCAAAGCAAGAAAGAAAATCGAGGAACACTGGAAGGACACGGCATATCAACAAGAGGAAGTTCGTAACATCAATGAAATAGCTGAATACAACATTCCTACTTTACGAGATCCATGTGGTGCGATGATCGATGTAGATCCAACTGAAATTCGGGAATCAAATTTTCAAGTTGGTACACAATGTGATTTTGAGACAGAGGATGAAGATGATGATCAGGAAGAAGATGAAGATGAAGATGATGACGAAGAAGAAGGTGAAGATGAAGTTGAAGATGCATATGAAGATGAAGATTATGATTTTTGAGACTTTTTACTAATTATGTCTAATTATTAGTAGTAATGCGACACGCGTATTTTGGTGTTGTCGTAATTTTTAATATTTCTGTTGTTATTGTTCTGTAATAATTTCCTTCAAAAAAATCTTTTTTTTCCGCTTATATAAAAAACGTTGCAAAATTTGTTGGAAATATCTAACAAAATTTTAATAAACAAAGTTCTTAGGGTGAAATAAAAATCGTTGGAAATTTCTAAAGAATTTTCCAACGAATTTTTAAAATTTTTTTTTTCAGCGAAATTAAAATTTGTTGGAAAAATCGTTGGAAATTTCCAACGAATTTTCCAACAAATTCTTAGTTTTCGGCAAATAAATTAACTGTTAACTTATTTCGTTGGAAAATTTGTTTCATTAATGTAATTGTTAACTAATTTCGTTGGAAAATTCGTGGGAAATTTCCCACGAATTTTCCAACAAATTAAAATTTGCTCTTTTCATCGGATTATTGAAAATTCGTTGGAAAATCCGTTGGAAATTTCCAACGACTTTTCCAACGAATTTTTAAAGTTTTTATGTTCCGCTCAAATGAAATTCGTTGGAAAATTCGTTGGAAATTTCCAACGAATTAATAGTTTTCGGTAAATAATTTAATTGTTAAATTATTTCGTTGGAAAATTCGTTGGAAATTTCCAACGAATTTTCCAATGAATTTTTAAAAGTTTTTATGTTCCACTCAAATGAAATTCGTTGGAAAATTCGTTGGAAATTTCCAACGAATTCATAGTTTTCGGTAAATAATTGTTTGTGCAGAATCAAATTCATTGCAAAAATCATTGGAAATTTGCAACGATTTTAAATTTTTGTTTTATTAATTTAATCGTTAAATAATTTCATTGGAAAATTCGTGGGAGATTTCCCACGAATTTTCCAACGAATATAAACTTGCCCGTTTATCTGTTAATTAAAAATTCGTTGGAAAATCCGTTGGAAATTTCCAATGAATTTTTAAAAGTTTTTATTTTCCGTCGAAATAACATTCGTTGGAAAAGTCGTTGGAAATTTCCAATGAATTTTCCAATGAATTTTTAAAAGTTTTTATGTTCCGCTCAAATGAAATTCGTTGGAAAATTCGTTGGAAATTTCCAACGAATTCATAGTTTTCGATAAATAATTGTTTGTGCAGAATCAAATTCATTGCAAAAATCGTTGGAAATTTGCAACGATTTTAAAATTTTGTTTTATTAATTTAATCGTTAAATAATTTCATTGGAAAATTCGTGGGAGATTTCCCACGAATTTTCCAACGAATATAAACTTGTCCGTTTATCTGTTAATTAAAAATTCATTGGAAAATCCGTTGGAAATTTCCAACGAATTTTCCAATGAATTTTTAAAATTTTTTATTTTCCGTCGAAATAACATTCCTTGGAAAAGTCGTTGGAAATTTCCAACGGATTTTCCAACAAATTCTTAGTTTTCGGTAAATAATTTAATTGTTAACTGATTTCGTTGGGAAATTCGTTGGTAATTTCCAACGAATTTTCCAACGAATTTTAAATATTGTTTCTTCCGACTTTTTAACGAAATTTTGTTGGAAATTTTGTTGGAAATTTCCAACGAATTTTATTGTTCGTTGGAAATGTTGTTGGAATTTCAAAAAAAAGCGCTGGAATTTTCTAATTTTTCAATTTTGTTGGAAATTTCGTGGGAAATTTCCAACAAATTTGCTCACGAATTTATTATTCGTTGCAAAAGTCGTTGAAAATTTGGATTTCGTTGGAAAATTCGTTGGAAATTTCCAACGAATTTTGCAACGAAAAGATAGAAACGCTTTTATTTGGTTCGGCAACTAGCTCGTTTGCGTCTACAGAGTATTTTGAGCACGACAAAGTTTCTCTCTCTTCTCGTCCTCTTCGCCGTCGCCGCCTGCTCGCCGTCGCAGCCCGCGCCGTTGCCGCCCTCGCTGTCGCCGCCCGCTCGCCGTCAGCCCGCGCCGTCGCCGCCTCGCCGTCCGCCTCGCCCGTCCGTGGGCAAGTGCTCGCCGTCCTTTTCTCCTCCCTCTTCGCCGTTCAGCTGTCTTGTCGCCGCGGGGGTGGTCTCGGCCGGGGGTGGCGGCTGCGCGGGTAGGGCTCTCGGCCGCGCGGAGGGAGGGCCGCGGCCGCGCGGGGTGGGGGGTGCGGCGGGGGTGTTGCGGCCGGGGAGGGGGTTGCGGCCGCGTGGGGTGGGGAGGGGGTGCGGTCGGGGGTGTTGCGGCGGGGAGGGGGTCGCGGCCGCGCCGGGAGGGGGTGCGGTCGGAGGGGGGGCGGGTGTTGCGGCCGGAGGAGGGAGTCGCGGCCGCGCGGGAGGGGGTTGCGGCCGGGTGGGGTGGGGGTCCGCCAGGGGCGGGGGGGCCGCCGGCTGGGGATCGGGCGCGGCTGCGCGGTGGGGGGTTGTGGCCGGGGTGGGTCGCCGCCGCGAGATTCCCAGGGGTTGGCGACCGGATTCCGGCCGGCGCGGGGGTTCGCAGCCGAATCCCGCTGAGTGGGGTGGCGGCCGACCCGGCGGGGTGGCGGTCCCCGTGGGATTCCGGCTGGGCGGAATCCCACGGCCGGAATGAGGCCGCCGGATTCCGGCGGGCGGAATCCGCGCCGGAATGAATCCGCCGGAATCCGGCGGCCGGAATGAGTCCGTCGAAATCCGGCCGGCCGAATGCCAGCTGCCGAATCCGGCGCGGATTTCGGCCGCCGGATTCCAACCTGGGGGGTCGCGGATGCAATTATAATTTTGTTTCGTAATTGTTATTCGTTTTGTAAATTAAATATGCTTCATTATACAGTTTAGTGGCATCTGATGTGATCTAAATTGTAATAGGTTCTTCCGACGAGGACCAGTGACTTGACTATTTATCAGAGGCGGTACTCTGTTAGTTTCAATTTGTTAACATTATTTCTTGATATCTAATACAAAATGGTAAGGAAAATGATTTCATTTTCTGTCCCTAATACCTGTTCATATTTTTTGTAATATTTGTCTAACCTCTTTACTAATTGTCAGCATAATCGAGGAGGTCACATGCGGGGTGGGGGTTCACAAAGAAGACCAGGCCTCTCCGCTTCCTCATCCTCGTCCCCGTCCTGTCTTCGAACCCTGTTCTACCATATGTGCAGGGACAATACGGACACATTGGCCCATCCTTCGATCCACAGCAACATATTCACGAAGAACTGGGGGACATGCGAACTGATTTTACTTCAGTTTCATCTCCTTCGGTGCCACCTGCTTCATCAGTGCAACACTCAAATGAGGAAGAAGAGAACCGATTCCTTATATGCCCATGCGGAGATTCGTAAGTAATTCATTTTTGTATGTATATTTAAATTATGGAACGAATTTAAAAGTGTCCATGTTTCGAATTTTTCATATGCTTGATTGTCTTATTCTCTATATTGTTATAACATGTTTTCAGATTTACGGATTCTACGCATGTTGTGAGGGAACTTAATAGAATAGTCAATAACTGTTGGATAGGGCAGTTTACATCTTTCAGCAGTGCTCCTAAAGAAATAAAAACTTTGTGGTGGAATGAGTTCAAGGTTAGTGTTGTTTTTATTTATTTTCTCACAACGTAAGTTCGGTGTAGCATACTGATGGTCAATAATGAAATTTGACATGAATTGTTTGGTGCATTGTAAGGGATATCTCACTTGTGACCAATATAATTAATTTCCCTTGCTTTTGCTATTGATTGTAGCGTAAGTTTACGTGGGATGAAATGGAAGAGGCTGAGGTTAGAAGAATTTTTAAGAAGAAAGTCGGTGATGACATGCGTTATGTGATAAATAAAGCGAAGAGAACAAAAGAAAAGCCGGATTTCATTACAGCTGACGATTGGATAGAAATTACGAGAACTTGGGAAACTGAGAAGCATAAGAAAAGGTGTGAACAGAACAAGAAGAATCGAGCTTCTAGTTCTAGTGACGGGTCTGCGTCAGCCACATATGCTGGGGGCTCTATCAGCATCGGCGAGCACAGAAGAAGAATGGTAAGTCTGTTTAAACTTGTAAGTTTATTTAATTCAATTGTGACTAATTTTTGTTAAATTTTTGTAGGCAGATGAATTGGGGACGGAACCCACATTTACAGCTACATTTGAACGCACATTTCAGAAAAAGGATAAGACATGGACTGGCGATCGAGCAAAAGCTACTAAGGTATGGAAGGTTATAGTTTGGACTTTATCGAAACTAGAATGAAAATCATGCATGTTTTTAATATTTATGGTAATATATTCGAATTTATTTTATTTTTATCTATACTGTTAATATAGGAAAAATATGATCAACTTTTGATGAGCACTGCTAGTGGTTCTGGTTGTGGTGATGATGGTGGTGGTGGTGATGGTGTTGCTGTGTCTGAGCCATCGGTTGATAGTATGGCATTATGGGTGGAGGCAGCGGGTGGGATGAAAAGAGGAAAAATATTTGGGATGGGATCCTTATCAAGGACGTTTAAAACGAAGGCTGCTGCATCTTCATCCTCCAATGCGGCTGCTGCAAGGAGGACACGACATGAGGAGCACATGACCCAAGAATTGTGCCAACTGAAACAGTTGCTTGTACAGAAGGACGAAGAAATGAAGCATTTACTTGGACAGAAGGACGAACAAATAAGAGTGATGCAATCACAAATGCAATACGTCATGCGACACCTCGACATCGATCGCAATGACGTTCCTTCTGTACCTCCTGTTAATGTAGCCGGTCATGGGCATATTGATGAACCACACGATGATGCGGCGATTGGTGATGATGCTGATGATGATGATGCTGGTGATTTTATTGTCAGTCCCCCTTAGGTAAGAACATTTTTTTATAGCTAGTTCTACGTCAATGCATAAATGCTTTTTTTATATTTTGGACAAATTCCATATCTTTATTTATGTTTCCATATTTCATCAGGTGTCGATACAGCTGACTGTTCCTAATGTCATGCCCAGTACCGAAGCTGCCAATGTCTTATGGTTGTCCCCCGTCCTTTCAATGTTTTCAATGTATTAATTGATGTTCATTCTTACTTAGCTACCTTTATGTATTATGACATTCAATTTTTAATACCATCATGTGAGACTTTGCAACTTATGCATTGTAGAAATTAATATTGCATATGTAATTAGATTTCAAATCGAAGTTGTTCCGAAACAAAATTCGTCGCAATTTAGCGACAAAAAAAAATATTGCTGCAAATTAGCAATGACTTTTTTCACGAATAATTACGGATGAATTTTTGTAACGAACAATTATCGACATAATTTGCAACGAATTATTCATGGTTTCCCACGAATTTTCCAACGAAAATTTTGCAACGAATTTTCCAACGAAATTTTTTAAACAAATTTTCCAACGAAATTTCCAACTAAAATTTTCCAACGAATTTTCCAACGAAAAATTTGCAATGAATTTCCCAACGAAAAATTTGCAACGAATTTTCCAACGAAATTTTTCCAACGAAATTTCCCACGAATAATTTGCAACGAATTTTCCAACGAATTTTCCAACGAAATTTTTCCGACGAATTTTCCAACGAAATCCAACGAAATATTTGCAACGATATTTCCAACTAATTCTCCAACGAACTTACCGACAAATTTTGTTTTTTGTTGCAAATTACCTACGAAAATTATTTTTTTGTCGGACATTTAAACAATTTCCAACGAGATTTCCAACGAATTTTTTTCGTTGGAAATTCGTTGGAAATTCTGTTTCCCACGATTGTTACGATCAATTATTACCGACGAATTTTTCCATGACTTTTCCAACGAATTATTACCGACGAAATTTACAACGAAATTTCCAACAAATTTATCCACGAATTTACCCACAAATAATTACCGACGAATTTTTCCACGAGTTTTCCAACGAATAATTAGCGACGAATTTTTCAACGAAATTTCCAACAAATTTATCCACGAATTTACCGACGATTTTTCCAACGATATTTCCAATGAAAAAATTTTCGTCGCAAATTTCCAACGAAAATGAAAATTTTTTGTTGGAAAATTTTCCGACGACGAATTACCCACGAATTTTTTTTCGTTGGAAAATTCGTTGGAATTTCGTTTTCCAACGAATTTTTCAGAATTTTTCGTTGGAAATTTCGTCGGAAAAAACTTGTTTTTTTGTAGTGATTTGCTATTGGATAATCAAATATTTAATTTATTGTAAGCCACCCTATATGGTTCGATCAGAAAATCAAGGGGATAAGTACACTAGGAGTATCATAACTTTCATACAGCGCTCACTTGAGTGCCATAACATTTTTTTTTTGCTTATTTGAGTGCCACAAATTTGAAAAATCGATTACTTGAGTGCCATCGGCGATTTGCCAACTTGAAAGAATTGACAAAAAGCGGAGTCAACAATATCGGATGCAACCGTAAAAAAGCAACCTTCAACGTAGTGAAATCGAAGGAACCATCGACATAGTGGAGTCAACATAACCATCGATAACCATTCAGTAACCATTCATAACCTCTGTTTGTAACTTCTTTTTGCAACCTTTCTTTGTAACTTCTCGTAACCGTTAGGAAGTTATTTCTTTTTTAGTAACCGTTTGTAACCTCCTTTGTAACCTCCGTTGATAACTGTCAATTATAGGCTTTAAATAGCCACATTCTACTCTTTAGAGAGAACCCTCGACAGATTAAAAGTCTTGTAGAGTTTTCGATTTCAAAAGGAGGTAGACAATCGTGACTGATCAGGATGCGGAAAAAGGATGGGAACTTCAGTGAAGAATCGCCAACTTGAAGGAATTGACAAAAAGCGGAGTCGATAATATCGGATGCAATCGTCAAAAAAGCAACCGTCAACGTAGACCATCGATGTAGTGGAGTCTATGTAACCATCGATATCCGTTCGGTAACCATTCATAACTTCTATTTGTAACTTCCTTTTGTAACCTCTCTTTGTAATTTTTCATAACCGTTAGGAAGTTATTTCTATTTTAGTAACCGTTTGTAACCTCCTTTGTAAGCTTCATTGATAACGGTCGATTGTAGGTTTTAAGTAGCCATATTTTACTCTTCGGAGAGACCCCCCCGACAAATCAACAGAAATGTTATATTTCAATTATCTTTACTTTCCAGTATTGCACCAATTTTTCCTTAGCTGTAGCTTTCCGATTCGTATCGTCGATTAAATTCCGACGTTACATCTTTGCACATTCTCAAGCTTTGTACTTAAAGTCTGGCACAATTTTGTACTTATAGTTTGGTTCGAAGTTCGAAGTAAAAGTTTGCAGTTATTTCTTGTTTGAAATTGCTACAGAACCCGTCTCTTCTCATTAAACGCCAAAGAATGGCTTTCGGTGAAAGATATTTCGTCGCGAGAGCAATTTTGGTTAAACAATTATGAACCATGAAACTCAGAGAAACGTACTGCCATAAATGAACTTATGTCCTCTAAACAAAAGTTACAAAGAATATTTAATAGATAAGATATTATATGTGACGATAATTACGGGATGAAGTATTACGAAACATAAGATCCATAGAATATATGACGAGAAAAGGGAAATTATGAGTTTCATCATGCGATTCAATTTTGAAAGTGCACACTAGTAACGATATTTTCCCTCATGCATCCAAGAAAAATAGAGAGTTCAGAGGCATGGATGATAGACCCTTTATTTTCAACACCGATGACCATTTATTTTCAATACCACATCGGTGGGACGATGTTTAGTTCAAACTTCACATCGGCAGGGGACTAACATAGAGCGATATGATATGATCTTTGAGCTTGGTCTTGGAATGGGTGTAATGATCTCCGTTGGTGTATAACACATCGATCACCTGCGAGAGATTGAGAATTCGCGTGAGAACCGGTGCTGGGACCGCGGTCGGACGAAGAAACTCCTCATTGATGTCCTTCCACGCATCAACAACTCGTTTCTGGAGGTCCTCCTCAGCTTCCTGCTCCGAGATGCCATTTTCTTTCATCAACAACTCCACCGAAGATGCTACATGCCCTCTCTTTTGTTCCAACTGTATATCAACAAAATTGCTGTGATTTGGTCAGCAGCGTTTCCGATTGAGTAGTGGTCGATCTAATTTCATCAAATCATTAGAGGATAATTACGTTTCTATTATACCTGGTGAGAAGCAATGTCATCCATGAACCTACATATGATTTGTGAAGCCTTCAAGATCTTGCAGTCGCCGAGCAACCATTCAAAAGCATCTCTTGTGACCACTTCGCCCATTCCTACAAGCGATGTGATCGCTATCTCTTCATAGCCTGTCGTTAATAATGCAAGGGGCATGTATTCCTCCATCGTTGGTGTGTAGCCGGTATGGAACCATTTGGCTTCGTCAAAGTACCCTCTTGCTTGCTTCTTCATCTGAGAAATTAAACGTAAACAAGAATGTTGGGTTCCCGAGAAAAACTGCATTGGGTGCATATAAAGGGTACCGATGGTGCTTATGGCTTCTTTTGCATAGACGAGGCGGTACGATCTTCCTTTCATGGCCAGTTCATTCCCAATTTCATCATAGAGATCGAGAAGCACCTTATAATAAGCTTGCATATACTCTGGTAGTCCATCCATGGCATCAACACTCCACCTGAATTCGAGTCCTTGAAAATTACACACTTACTCTACACATACTTGATCAAATTCAGAAGTTTGAGAAAGAGAATGCAGATTATGTACTTCTCAATTGCCTCGGTGAAGGATACAAGTTCTTCTATTGTGCCATAGACGTCATAGATATCATCGAGAATGGAAATCAGAGCGATCACTCTGTTTAGTATATATCTAGCCTCGGCAAACTCCGGCTGGAAATATACTCCCGATATCCAGAAGAACAACTCCACAATCCTGTCTCTAGAGAATGGGAACTTCCTCGCAACATCTTTATCCTTCCACCACCTATGATAAAATGAAGATGAGCGTTATTGAAAGTACATTAGCCCGATGAATTTGCATAGTTCAAACTCGCTTTTTCACTAGTAAAGGACTTTCAAAAGCACTAATTAGCAGGGTAAATTGAAACTAGACGAGCAAACCTTTGGAAAACACAATCTATAAGCTAATTTTAGATTATACTATCACTTGAAGTTAGTTGACCTTGTAATCCTGCCGAGTTCCTTCTGGTGTTGCTCTTGCAGTAAGTTGAAATCTAGTTTAGCCAAGGCGAGCAAGACCTCGTCATGTGAAGGCTCTTCTTGGTAGAGTGATATATAATGCCTTGCCTCGAGTCTCGGCAGCCCCTTGCGAAGTGGCCGATTGAGGGCACAACTCACTTGTTTTGCAAGACTATTCGTTACTTTCATTTCATCAATCGATTCAAGTTGAGTTATAGCAAAAGGAAGTGCTTCCTCCAAAATATCATCGCCATGGCACCTTAAATGGCAAGCTTCATATAGGGTCAATAATCCGCGCACATCTGTGATGAGCGATTCCCTGAATTTGCCTTCACTGTCCTTGAATTTGTTAAAGACCTCTGTGCGACCAGCCAACATGGGACAAAAGACGTAATTGATTAGAAATTAGGAATGCGATACACGTAGTTAATGTTGTAGATTTTCTTTCACTTGTTTCTCCTAAAAATCGAATGAGCAATAGTAAGTTTTGCGGCAATAATTTTCCAAAGAAGGAATTTTATGGGCATATTATCGGATTGGTTCACTAAGTTTAAGACTTACCCGATGAGATATTGAAACCTTGTTGTCGCAGCAATCGAAACATAAGAGCAACCATGTGAAGGTCATCTCCCATAAAACCTCCATGATCGAGTTGAGAGTAACTTTTGTGGATATGATCTAATTGCTCATCTATTTCTCGTTCAAAATGGTAGTCAATTCCCAAGCGTTGAATTTCATCAATCAAGTGAAGCATTTTTGAAGGCTTA